GTCTACTATTGCGGACGTGTATTGAAAGATAATAATCCGTGTAATGTGCATTGACGTATTAAAAATCCGTATTCTTATTGTGTTTAGCACTATGCACCTTTTCTTCATATTCACAGCCACGTATTCGACTTCATATTCATTATACATATTCGACTTATATGTTCCTTTGTTACTTCACTAACACACAATGTAATATGTTCTTTTTAAATGCGAAGAAATTTGCACGTTAAAACACAGACGTATTAAGAAATTAAAATTAAAATTTCACGATTAAATAAAATTATATTAAAGTTTGTAATTAAAGTTTGTAATAGAATTAGAAGCTCATTTATCGGAAACACAAGTTACAATAATTATTTTACAAACATATGTTGATATATTAGAAGTCATCATAAAACATCGATACTTCTGTTATATACTTTGTCAGATCGATTAAAAACTGATGTTCTATGTTACTCTCATGTAGTTTGCAAATTTCTCTTAGTTGTATTTAATATACTTTGTGTTTATACCTAAACATTGTCCGATTGCTTTCTATATCTATTTTCGTTAATACACGGAATTCTTTTACAATTTTCATAAATATCATAAGTTTTCGTTTTAATTATCCAGCTAATGGTATACTATATACTAATTGTGACAATATATAAACTCGTCTACTTGGTCTTCAGTGTGGCTCGTAAATCAACAGAAACAGAGAGCATTGGACAAGTACTGAAACGTCATCAATTTATTTTCCTCGATCAACTGATTAGTAACAGTTGACGGAGTTGCAGCTCTTACTATTGGTCGGATTTCCGAATATCCGATCTTGACTATCAGGATAGACACTCGATTGAAAAAATGAGAAATGTATAAAAAAAGATTGGTATTTGCGATAGAAATCTTAAATATGTGAGCTCAATGGTTTGAATCAAGTTCATGTATTTGAAAACTCGGATTCTCGATTCCTCGATTCTTAAACCGGAGTATGAGTCATTACTATAAAAACTAATACGATTACGCGGACATAGGAATTCTGGTTTGTTGCAATAAGCAAATTGAAGGACAAATTTCACATTGAAAGACAAATATTTAAATTGAAAAAGAAGAACTCAAAGATAGAAGATACTGTTACCAAAAGAACATCAGTTGATTACACAAAAGATTCCATACGTTTATGTCATTTATACATACAAGGCAAAAGGTTCCATACGTTTGTCATTTACTTGCGTTAATCGGTTTTGTTATGAAAATTTTCGACTATATTAAAATTTGTCTTACCTCATCATTATTCAGTCTAATTTATATCGAAACTTTGTTTAAAGTCCACTATATTTGTTTTATTTGAACAAAGATACTATATAAACATTAATAACTATTAATAACTATCATAATATACTTCGTCCTGCAATAATAACTATCCACTGCATAAAGTATAATTATAAGTTACAATTGTAAAAATATTTGAACACTTCTATGTTGTAGTCTCTTGTAATATAGCACGCATAGCGGTACAAAAGGAGAGAGCGTTCGACAAGTACTGAAATATAATCAATCTGTTAGTATCAAGATTTATTATTACAATATTATAATTGATTTTAATTTGTCAACTTGCTCGTAATTGTTAGAGACTGTGCAACAATTAGATCGTTTCATATGAAAGAGAAGGAAACATACAAATTTCACACGTTCAAGGTGAACAAAAAGTTCGTCACTACTAATGTCAGTTGAATTAATATCTATTAATATAAGATTTACACAATTGTTCTTAAAATTGGATAACTCAAATAATTGGAGAATGAGCCTTAGTGCAAGTCCCTTAATCAACGCCCGAACATTAAGACAGCTTACCGAACAATAATAACGCAAAGAAAGCTCCGGCAGTAGACAACTAATGGAAAGAATAACTGGCTTTTGG